GGTTTTGCTGTCAGTGCCCAGCTACTCGGATCTCCATGGCAGTATGTGCACAATGGATCACATTTTCCTATCTTTGATAATACTGACGGAGCTCTTTTCTTCAGACACAGCATCATTTGCCCTTGTAAGTGAGCCTGCTCTTAGTCATGGTTCACCCTTTCTCGCAGCAGATGTCAGGCGAAACTGTAGGGCTCCTGCAGTGAAGGTCTACAGATTTTCTTTTCCATTTGACACTAAAATTGAAGGAGTGATATCTTGAGGCTAAGGAGGATGCTAGACACCAGGCGCAGTGCAGCAATGTACCCTGCAGGTCACTCTGAGCACCGGTTTCGCATAGTCTTCTTCTGGGTATCTGAAGAGCTGGACATGCTATCAGCTAGAAACACAGAGGGTCAGTTCAAAGTCTCCCTCTATTGCTGTGTACAGCACTGTAATGGCAACTAGACACCAGTCATACTTCCTCAACCTCACCCTCAACAGGAAAATCCTCCAAACAATTTAGCTGGTTGCTAGTTTGACTCCAAGCTCATCTCTGAGCAATGACCAATGCAGGAGTATCCCAGGAGACTCTGTGACTCAGAACCACTGTTGTAATCCAGTTTCTCTGCTACTTGTTCCTCCAGAAAACCACTTGTTGCTACCAGCAGTAAATTATCCGTGTTGCTCCACACCCTCCAGGGAACTATTCAGACCCATGAATGAAGGGGTGGGACCATATTTCTTTTCGTCGCTCCCCTACTATGCTATGAGAGTATTTGGGCAAACAGGTTCACTTAGCACAACATAACTCACCCTGAATTGTTCCCTTCATGGGAATTGATATTCCTCAAAATTAAGCAGATTTATGCTTTTGGGGATCTATAGTAATAAATTCATTAAGCTAAACACTCTGGTTTTAGAATCATTAATGGTTAATGATAAAGAATTAATGATTAAATCAAGGCAAAGTTTCTTGAGAAAAAGTAAAGTCCCTTAGAAGTTCAGGCCCAGGGCTGCTACCCTCACTCACAGTAGGTCAGTTCTTACCAGTCCTACAGAAGCAACATAGCAACATCCCTGTGGGTAGGCACAATCACACTGATTCCCTCTCCATCCCTCATCTTTACTTCTGACCCAAAAACTCACCAAAATATGTTTGCCAGACTGGGGGGCCAAGTTCTGGAACCTTCTGGCCATACAGAGACCACTGGCTGACAAAATCCAAAGGTGTCCTTAATACTACAATCATCACAAACAGGCCATTTTCATGTTCTTTAGAAGGAAACTCAGAGCTAGGAGAAGATGGAAGAGGAGCAATACTTTGCTACGGGACCAAGCTCTGCCTGCAATTGGACCGGACACTCTCCTTCACGTAGAAAATCAAGGAATACATGTTTAAATTGAAACTCTGGTGTCTTTTAGGAGACTGTGAGTTCTAAGCTCCCCATATGGGAAGGAGCATCCTCTCCTTATGGGAAGGAATGACTATTACAGTCTCTGGCTGCATGTCTGAGGGAAGCAAGCAAGGAACTTGTGTTGGGTTTCTGCAACAGAAAGGTGAGAGCTGCCTGTTTCCTCCATCCTCAACCTCTCCGACCACACCAGCTTCATCCTTTCTTAAACAGAAAAAAATAAACAAAACCAACCCTTTTACCCACTATTTATTCACGTAACATTGGGCAAGGCTATACCAGTTGGAACAAGCAGACCTGGGGTGGCTGTTCCTTTGCTAACTACTGAAGAGGGACAGGAGAGAAGCACAGCACAGATGTTCAACCTAGCCAGGCATAAGTGAGACCAGGTATTCATGCAACCCCTTCCTGCAGCACTGGGTCCTAGTTAAAAAATTTTGCCAAGAAGCCTAACTCACAGGCCAAGCCAAATAAAAGAGGCTATCCCACACAGGAAACCTGGCACGTAGGTCCATACCACTCCACACCATGCCATGCAGACAGAAGCTTAAGCCTGCACTAACTCAAATATTATAGCTGTGTTTTACAGAAAAAAAATATTCATATTATAATTAAGAACTTGGGCTATATCACAGGTTTCACTGCTAGCCAATGAAAATTCACTGTGGTGGGTAAAGTACCTTTGGTTTCTACATGAAATGGATGGAGCCAGGAGCACAGGAAATTGTGTCTGACTGTTCAGGATTTATGGTCTGTTATAGCTCAGCACCTAAACCATTTTACCCAATCCTAATATTATGTTTTTCCCATGTTTTTGTTTTCATTCTTTCCAGTCTGAACTTTTCTTCTTTCAATTTATACCCGCTGTTTCTTGCCCACCCACCTATCAGCACTGTGAAGAGCCTGGCTTCATCTTCTTGAAGAACCCCTCATGGGTCCTGGCAGGCTGCAATGAGGTCTACCTCTTCTCCAGGCTGAACAAATTGGGTTCCCTTAGCTCCTCCTCACATGGCTCTGGCTCAAATCATCTTGGGAGCCCTCGTCTGAACGTGGGTCCAATTTTTCAATGCCTTTCCTGTACTGGGGGGCTCAAAAGGTCCAACATGTGCTGGGCGGGAGGATAATCCCTTCACTCTAGCTCCTGGCTGTGGTCCAGTCAGGATGCTGTTAGCTGCCTTCGCTGCCAGGGCACACTCCAGACACACGGGCAGGGTGCTGTCTGCCAGGACAGAGCCTTCTCAGTAAAGCCAGTCAGCACCAGACTGTATTGGTGCAAGGGCTGCATTGGTGCAAGACAAAGGAAACTTTGTGTTTGTCCTTGCTGAATTTCATAAGGTTCCTGTAGGTCCATTCCTCCAGCCTGCCTAGGTCACTCTGTACAGCAGCCCTGCCCACCAGCGTATTCACTGTTCCCTCCAATTTGGTGTCATCTGCAAACTTGATGGAAGTGCACTTCATCACCTCTTCCAGGTAATTGGTAAAGAAGTTGAACAGGACAGTCCTAGTATATAAACCCCTGTAGCACTCTACTTGTCCTCTGGGTAGAGAACAACTCATTAACTACTCCCCGCAAAGCCCAACCATCCAACCAATTTTTACCCATCCAGACTATAAAATCCTAACTTAGATGCAAGAACGTTGTTGGAGACAGTGTCAAAAGCCTTGCTAAAGTTGAGGTAAATGACATCCACTGCTCTTCCCTCATCCATAAACCCAGTCATTTTATCATAGAACACAATCAGCCTGGTCAAGCATGATTTACCCTTGGTAGATGCATGCTGATTGTTTCCAATCACCTCCTTCTTCCTATGCCCAGAAATGTGCTCCAAGAAGATTCACTCCATTAAGTTCCATGAGAACCAAAGCGATGCTGATAGGCTTATAGTTCCCTAGATTGCCTCTTTGGCTTTTTTGAAGGCTGCAATATTTACCTATTTCCAGTCATTAGGAACCTTCCATGATCTCCATAAAGTTTCAAAGGTGACAGAGTGGCCTTGGAGAGACATCAACCAGTTCTCTCAGCACCTTGGATGTGGTCTGTCTGAACCCATGGAGCTTTCCAGTCAGACTCTCTCAAGTAACTCTTGACTCAAACCTCAGCTACTGCTGGTAGTTCTCTTTGAACCCTTACCCTAAGCACACAGGAATGGGATAGCTTGTTGGTAAAGAGCGCAAAGAAACCATTGAATACCTCACCTCCATTCAGCAATGGTTATGTGCTTTCCTTGCTCAGCCTTTTTACACTAGCATAGCAGCGGAAGTTCTTCTTGTTCATAGAATCATAGAATAGTCTGGGTTGGAAGGGATTGTCATCTAGTCCAGCCCCCCTACAATGAGCAGGGACATCTTCAACTAGATCAGGTTGCTCAGAGCACTGTCCAACCTGACCATTAACATTTCCAGGGATGGGGCATCTACCACCTCTCTGAGGAACCTATTCCAGTATTTCACCACCCTCATCGTAAAAAAAATTCCTCCTTATACCTAGTCTGAATCTACCCTCTTTTAATTTAAAACCATTACACCTTGTCCTATCACTACGGGCCC